GTCCTCACAAGCCGGACCCGGCCTCCTCAGCCGGCTCCCGAGAGAGCCCCCTCCTCGGGCCCCCAACGCTCAGCGGCAGAGGCCAGTGAAACTGTAACGATTATTTTAAGCAAATAAAAATTAAGGCAAAAGTCCGTGAGGAGCCAAGTATCAAAGGTCTGAATAAAGACGAGGCCGCTCAGGGTTTCGGGGTTGGGTCAGGAAGGAAGGGGAAGGGCCGTGCAGGCTTGCAACCTGTCCTCCCCCCAGATGTTGGTACTGCGTTCATCACTGGCTTGTGCGAGATCTTGATGTTTCTAAAGGCTGTGCTCCTTGGCGTCCGCTGTGAGGGCCGCCCGCCCTCATCCGGGCCCTCCTCTGGGCCCGGCCTGGCGACCCCGCCTCCCTGGCTCAGGCGCCCCCAGCGGGGTGCAGCGGGACGCTGACTGTGGCCTCGCTCCCCCAGAACCTGGCTCCGGGCAGGGGAGGGGCCGAACAGCAGGCCTGTGGAAGCTCCCTCTGCTTGGCCAGCGCCCGCTCGGGGTAACGGCTCTAGTTCTGATGGGATCCAGTCAGGAGCTCGGAAGGTCCCGGGGCCCCAGCTGCTCCCCCCACGCCCCTCCCCTCACAGGCCCCGAGCGCGACCGCCCACCCCAAGCGCAGAGCCTGGGGGGGGGGGGGGCGGGCAGGTGCTCGGCAAACCCTCCCGCATCGCACCCTGGAGTCGCATCGCGGCCCCTGCGGCCTGTGGATGAGGGCCCCACGGGACGCGGGGTCTGTCGCCCTGGCCTCACTCACCCTCACCGAGCGCGTAGCGGATCCGAGCGTCCCAGGCGCACATGGCCTCGCGGCTGTCGAAGCCCAGCATGACGGCCTGGGACAGGCAGACGATGGCCAGCGTGTGGGCCAGGCCCTCGTAGGGCAGGCCGGGCTCCAGGCCGCAGATGTCCTCCAGCATCAGGCTGCTGCGCTCCCGCAGGCCCTTGGCTCGCTCAGACTTGTCCTTGTAGGCCAGCATCAGGAGGCAGTCTGCGAGGGCGCCGGACGAGGCACGGTGGGCTGGCAACACCACGCCCCAAGCCCCCGGCGTCCCCCGCCCAGAGAGTCCCGGCTTTGAGGTACAACCCCAAGCGAGCCACCCAGCCGCCCTGAGGAGGCACAGTCTCTTCATCTTCCAGGGGCGTCGCCCACCCTGCACGGCCCACAGGCCACAGGGGCAGAAGTGGGCCCGGGACACTTGGGCCCGACCCCATCCCCCACCAGGGCACCCACCCTGCCCCAGGCTCTGGGACCCACAGGGGCCACCCCCAGGGGCCGCCGGGCCCACGGGAGCTGTGGCCCGAGGCCTGCGGGGACGGGCCCCCTTCCCGTGCACCTCCTGGGTCTCTCGTCCTCCAGGGGGTGCGCTGGACTCCAGCCCTCGGGGAGGAAGCCACTGCCCCCTCGGGCCCACTGCCGGACCCCATGCCAGCCCGCCGGCAAGACTGGCAGGTGCCACGCCTCGGTCCTAGAGTCCCCGTTTTCCCTCAGCATCATGGTCGCCGGCCCCGTCATCCCAGCGGGACAGCAAGCCAGAGCTGCTGAGGCCGCACGCGGCCCCGGGTGCGGCCCCCACGCCGTCCACCTGCACCGGTCCAGGCACGCCACAAAGGATCAGATGGCCCTGGGCCCCCCGCGGGCCTGCCTAACAGAGCGTCCCCACCTGCCCGGGCCCCGGCCACCCGTTCTTCTGTGAGGGTGGAGGGCTCGGGGGCCTGACGTGACGCCGAGGCACCTTTCAGTGTGAGATGCCCCAAATCCCACGAGAAAGCTGGAGGAATCAGGCCCCTGGCGAGAGCCGGAGAGGGTGGGGGAGGAAGCTGTGGGGACCCCGCGGAAGGGGCGCGGTGATGTTCCCACTCTGGCCTCTGAGAGCAGGCCCCCCCCCCAACCCACGTGACCACCACATCCCGCAAGAACTCGACACACACGGATCACTGCAGCCGAATCGGGGACAAGTCACGGTTGTGAGCCACGTGCTTCCTGCCGTGCGAGGCCCGGCAAACCACAGCAACGGCCCCTCCGAGGGCCCACGGGGGTCCACAGACCTCCCTGGTCAGGGCCGAGGGCAGCGTCAGCCCCCAACGCACCTCTGTCCTTGCGGCATGAAGCGGCCGCAAAGTCAGGGGGACCGCGAGCCTGCTGCCCGTCCCGCTCGCAAACCCGTCCTTCGTGTCTGAGACGCTCACATCAGGAAAGAGCAAACACGTTCCCGTTTTGAGGGGGAAAAGCCCAGAAGCCACAGAAACCCACGTGCTCCCCTGAGCCTTCTGGTGTGTGTTCTCTCCCAGGACCAGCCTGGGAAGAGGCTGTGGCTTCGGCCCACTCCCTTTGGAAGCTCACAGCCGGGCCACAGAGAAATAAGGCACACGGGCTGCAAAGGACATGTGTCATTGCAGACACATCCCCTCACGTGTCACCGGAGAAGTCAGGCCCCGGAGCCAAGAAAGAGCCTGGGTAAGGGCCTCCGCACGGGACAAAGGGAGCTGCAGGGAGGAGGTAGCACACGTGAGGGGACAGCCCCGCCTCCCGGCCCCCGCAGCCCCGGTCCCTGGTCCGACAAGCAGCCGCCACCCGGTCCCTGCAGCAGGCTCTGCGGTCCCTCACAGCACTTTTTCCAGCCGGGTCTGTGCCTTGTCCAGTTGCTGTCCCCACTCCCACCAGCCCCGCGGGTGAGCTCTTGAAGGCAGGCCCCCTTCCGCTTGTGCACAGTGACATCCCCGGTGCCCCGCACGAGGACGGTGCGGGGTGATCTGTCACTTTAGGCCCGGCCCGACCTGCACGGCGGAGCGAGACTGTCACCTCCTTTGTTCTAGGAGTTATGCTCCCAGGAACATAGCCACAAGCAGGGTCGGCACACCTTCCTGTAAAGAGCCAGACAGTAACCGTTTGGCTTCATGGGCTACACAAGGTCCGTCGCGGCGGCCCGACTGTGAGGACAACAGAGTAACACGCGAGTGAGTGGCCGTGTTCCGATACAACTTTACTACAAGAGGCCCGCCGTGGCTCCGGGCTGCGGTCGGCCGACTCCGGGGCTAGAGTCGAGGCGGCTACAAGGGCCACGCCCTCCGGCTGCCTCCCACGGCCGGGCGGGCGCCCCCATCCCAGACCTGCGCACCCATGGGACGGGTTTTGGGGGCCCGCGTGTGAGCGCCACACGTGTCCCCGAGCCTGTCTAATCTCCTCGGGGCTGAGCGGCCGCCATCCCGTCCCGTATGGACACAACCGCGGGCACCCTCGCCCATCCGCCGGGGGCCGATCAGGCCCCGGAAGACGCGTCCACGCCTGACCCCAGAGCGTGGGAGCACCACCTTATTGGTCAAGTTAAGGACCTCCAAGTGAGGTGGTCCCGGGTCGTCCGGGGGAGCCCAGATCTAACCGCGAGCGTCCTCACAAGGCACAGGCCAGAGGACAGACGCAGAGAGGAGGAGGCCACGTGAGGACCGTCGCAGAGTGATGGGGCCGCAGGCGGAGCGCCTCAGCCTCGAGGAGCTGGAAGAGGCGGGTGGGAGCCTCCCCAGGGCCTTCCGCGAGGAGCGTGGCCCTGCCGACACCTTGATTTTGGACCTCCAGCCCTGGGGACCATGAGAGAGCGGGTCTCTGCAGCCCAGGAACCTGGGACGTCCTCCAAGTCACTGCTCGCGTTTCTAAACGTGGACGGAAAGGCCGGGCACAGCCACGGCCACGGCCACGGCCTGGTCTCGGCCGGAGCAGCTCGGGTCCACCCCATGCTCAGTGCTCCGAGCCCCCCAGCAGCTCGGCTGGGACCGTGGGGAGGGGGCTGGGTGGACGCGGTGACTATGCGGCCCATGGGGCCCTGCGACTGCGGCTGCTCCCACCACGTCCCCGCCACGTCCCTGAGGGCAATGAGTTGGTCTTATCTTTAAAGGCCGCCCCCGGGGGGTAGTGCACCAGAGGAACAGAAATTCTCCCTTCCTGCCCGTGACAAAGCAGGGTCGGCCGGGGGGGGGGGGGGGGCACTGACACTGC